CTTCACCTTTAAGGAAATGTAATGTCAGATTTACAGCGTGTAACTGATACACTGAGTTGCTGTTCGGTCAGCAGCAGTAAACACAGCTCTCTCACTGGCCCACTACCAAACTAAACTCTGCTCTTCCATACACTGGAGCAGTGCAGGGTGAAGCGGAGAGCAGCGTATTATATCAAGTGTTAAATCTGGTCTAAATTCAGGCTGCTATATTCAGAGGCAGCTGTGGACGGCTACAGATGAGGCTCTGTTAGGGTGACTGTGTGTGGTTTGCTAGAATGAGTTGTGCTTCCCTTATCGCAGTTCTCCATACACTCCTTCCTGACAGTCACTGAAGATTAACCTCTAGTTGATCACTTGGCATCAGAAGTGGCTTATATGAAAGGCAAAGGGCTCTAGATTGTGCTTATGTTACAACAATAAAATATGATCATGGCTTGTCATGCCTCATGCCTTTTAATCATTTCCTTACGAGGGTCTGAGGGTACTGAGTGTTTTAGACAAAATTAAGTACAATTAAGTGCACATCTTTTACAGAAGTGTACACCTATTTTTAACGTCATTTACTTGAGTAAACGATCATAATTCTCCTTTTTGAGTGCACTGTCACTTTAAATGTGCGTTTCCGTTCCAGTAATTGCATCTGCATTTATTTGAACTCTATCAGGTTCACGTTGTCTTTGTGAAACAGGCCACAGCTGCAAATGTGAAGTCAGCGCTTCTGTAAATACATTTCCCCATGAATAATGTATTAAAGCGCAACATAACAATGTGTGCAGAACGTTAAGCACAACTGCTGTTAAGTCGAAAGCAGAATGATGAATCAGGGTAAAATGGACAACAAGGCACTCATCTGATCAATAATGAATATACCTGGATGAGGATCTTGCCTAGACAGACGGACGGTGTGCTGAGTTCAGCCAGGAACATGACACCCTGGATATAATCGCCCTTCCCTTGCCTCCAGAACTGCAAGACAATGAGCAAATCTGATCAGATGATGCCGTTTCAGGATAAACTTTGATGATGAATTGACAAAGCCTTGCCCGAAAGTGAAAATAAGGGAAATAAATTAGAAGGGAAACTAAAAATGTTTTTTTAATCTATTCAGACGATCTCAGGATCGGTGGGAGAACTTTTAGCTTAGCTTAGCATAGATCATTGAATCGGATTAGACCATTAGCATCTCACTCAAAAATGACTGCTTCAGGAGAAACTTTGATGACGAATTGACAAAGCCTGGCTTAAAAGTAAAAAATTAGGTAAATAAGTTAGAAGGGAAAGTAAAAATGTCCAAAATCTCAGGATGTGGCCGAAACACTTTTAGCTTAGCTTAGCATATATCATTGAATCGGATTAGACCATTAGCATCTTGCTCAAAAATGGCAGATTCAGGAAAAACGTTGATGTTAGATTGACAAAGCCTTGCCCAAAAGTGAAAATAAGAAAAATAAGGTAAAAGGGAATGCACAAATATAAAAAAACCTCGGGATCTGGCAGGAGCCTTTAAGCTTAGCTTAGCATGGATCATTGAATCGGATTAGACCATTAGCATCTCATTCAAAAATGACTGTTTCAGGACAAACTTTGATGACGAATTGACAAAGCCTGGCTTGAAAGTAAAAAATTAAGTAAATAAGTTAGAAGGGAAAGTAAAAATGTCCAAAATTTTAGGATGTGGCCGAAACACTTTTAGCTTAGCTTAACATATATCATTGAATCGGATTAGACCATTAGCATCTCGCTCAAAAATGGCAGATTCAGGAAAAACGTTGATGTTAGATTGACAAAGCCTTGCCCAAAAGTGAAAATAAGAAAAATAAGGTAAAAGGGAATGCACAAATATAAAAAATCTCAGGATCTGGCAGGAGCCTTTAAGCTTAGCTTAGCATGGATCATTGAATCGGATTAGACCATTAGCATCTCACTCAAAAATGACTGTTTCAGGAGAAACTTTGATGACGAATTGACAAAGCCTGGCTTGAAAGTAAAAAATGAGGTAAATAAGTTAGAAGGGAAAGTAAAAATGTCCAAAATCTCAGGATGTGGCCGAAACACTTTTAGCTTAGCTTAGCATATATCATTGAATCGGATTAGACCATTAGCATCTCGCTCAAAAATGGCAGATTCAGGAAAAACGTTGATGTTAGATTGACAAAGCCTTGCCCAGAAGTGAAAATAAGAAAAATAAGGTAAAAGGGAATGTAAAAATATTTTAAAAATCTCAGGATCTGGCAGGAGCCTTTAAGCTTAGCTTAGCATGGATCATTGAATCGGATTAGACCATTAGCATCTCATTCAAAAATGACTGTTTCAGGACAAACTTTGATGAAAGAATTAAAAAAGCCTTGCTGAAAGTGAAAATAAGGGAAATAAGTTAAAAGAAAATGTCCAAAATCTCAGACTCTGGCGGAAACACTTTTAGCTTAGCTAAGCATAGACCACTGAATCAGATTAGACCATTAGCATTTTGCTCAAAAATGACTGCTTTAGGACAAACTTTGATGATGGATTGACAAAGCCTTGCTCGAAAATTAAAATTAGGGAAATAAGTTAGAAGGGAATGTAAAAATGTCAAAAATCTCAGTTATCTGGCGGAAGCACTTTTAGTTTAGCTTAGCATAGATAACTGAATATGATTAAACCATTAGCATCTCGCTCAGAAAATGACCTAAGAGTTTCTATAATTTTCCTTGTATCGCCTTGCCTGAAAGTCAAAATAAGGGAAGTTGGAAGAGAACGTAAAAATGACTAAAATCTCAGGATCTGGCGGGACCACTTTTAGCTTAGCTTAGCACAGATCATTGAATCGAATTAGACCATTAGCATCTCGCTCAAAAAAGACTTTTCAGGACAAACCCTTGCCGGGAAGTGAAAATAAAGGAAATAAACTAGAATAAAATGTAATAATGTTTTATAATCTATTCAGACGATCTCATGATCTGGCGAAAGCTCTTTTAGCTTAGCTTAGCATAAATCATTGAATTGGATTAGACCATTAGCATCTCACTCAAAAATAACCAGAGTTTCGACCATTTTCCTATTCTCGCCTTGCCTGAAAATGAAAATAAGAAAATAAATTAGAACGATCTCAGGATCTGGCGGAAGAACCGTTAAATAAAAGTAACTAAAGTAATCCAATTAGTTCCTTTTTGGGGGGAGTAACTCAATATCGTAATTACTTTCAAATGTACCTTACCCCAACACTGCTGACTTCAACAGTATTTGTTTTTTTTTCTACTATGGAAGTCAATGGTTACCAGTTTTCAACCTTAATCATAACATCCTTGTGTGTGTTTAACAGAAAAAAGAAGCTCCTAAATGTTTGGCACCACTTGATAAGAGTATAAAGTGAGTACATTTTTACTTTTGTGTGAACTATCCCTTTAAGTCAGCTATATCCTCTGCGCCGATATTTACCACAGAGACGGGGAAGCAGACGGTGACCATGACCACGTGGTGTAGGACCATGAGGAACTCTCTGCGCAGGTATCCGGCGATGGCTGTAGCCTTGGATTTGGAGCCGTTGTCCACCTCGTGCCCTTTGACCTGGAGCTTGTGCCAGTAACACAGGAACATGGCGTAGATGTCATACACGAAATACGGCACAGCGAACAGGATGTAGGAGCTGGTCAGCCAATGCCTGGCGGAGGAGAACACACAAAAACAAACGGTAGAGAACAGGTGAGGGGAAAGAAGATATTTACGTAAAGCCAAACTATGTTCCTGTTCACAAGGAATATATTTTAATGTGAAGACTGAAAGTTTGCCTTTAACTGTTTTTATTCTCTGTAGAATGATCAGTTTACACACAGACGGCCTCTGTGAGCTAATGGACGGGCTCACAGGCATTTTAAAAGACAATGTTACAACGTTTTAGTAATTTCCTTAACTCTTAAACAACCTGTAGGCTACACAAGGCGGTAATAGCTCAATGATTAAAAAGCATTTGATATTTACTTTAGCAAAACCTTAATCAATCTTCAATATATAATTGTCAATCCTCAATATTATTACATTTCTATTAAATATTACATTTTGAAAGCTTTGTGAGAGTTCTTTCTTTAAAAAAAAAAAAAATATATATATATATATATATATATAAATAAAATATAAATATATATCAAATATAAATATATTATATAAAATATAAATATATATATATATATATATATATATATATATATATATATATTCAAAATATATTCAGCTACAGTGTGAAGTATATTAACATACTGAAATAAAACTGTCAGCAACTGCGGGTTCACACACTTTAAATTTGATCTTAATATTTGAAAATAGCTACATTTTTCTGTTATGAAGACACTTTTTATAAAATAATTGTCTTTGAAGCTGAAAACAGATTCTTAAAATGTTATCCAGAAAATGGTATAATGTAGTAAAACAATAACAGTGCATTTATTTTGCATAGCACCTATAAAAGTAATTAGGTCAAAGCATTTTGCATGCAAGCAAACACACTTTAAACACAAAAAATACACAAAATATGAGTAATCAAGTCAATAAAGCAACAAAAGATGCCACATCATAGAATAATACAAGTGATAAAAGAGCATCTAATGGCTTTAGACTCTAATTTAACTCTAAAAGTTAGACGAACTGGTTAAGCCCAAAGCTATTTAATTAAATTTGTCCACTAATTCAATGTGTGTGCTAAAAATATTAGGATGGCTACTTAAAGCAGGAGAAAACACCAGTCTGAGATGATTCGCACTTTGACATGGTTTCTTGAACATGACAATGAGTTCACTGTACTCAAATGGCCTCCCCAATCACCAGATCTCAATCCAATAGAGCACCTTTGAGATGCGGTGGAACGGGAGATTGGTATCATGGATGTGCAGCCGACAAATCTGCAGCAACTGCATTCTGCTATCATGTCTGAGGAATCTCTGAGGAATATTTCCAGTAGCTTGCTGAATCTATGACATGAAGGATTACGGCAGTTCTGAAGGCAAAAAGGGGGTCCAACCCGGTACTAATAAGGTGTACCTAATAAAGTGGCCGGTGAGTGTATATATGCAGACATATTTGTATAAAACAATATTTAAAACTAACTGACAATCAGATCAATCACATCAACACATCAATATGCTCATACTATGATCTTGGTGTCAGGAACAGAGTACCAAGACTACTTTAGTTCTGATTGAGGGTTGATATAAACTGATTTAAAGGGATGACGGTTGCACCTACTGGTCCTCGATGATGTCCTGGCAGGAAGAGGAGATGATGTATCCGGCCGTAGAAGCCATAATCGCCTGGATAGACGATACCAACCTGCAAAATACAACACATTTCTCCCTTTTATTTACAGTTATTTACAAAAAAAGGTAAAAATAAGAAGGTCCAAAGGTATAAACATGTTGACAATCGGTTCATCTCTCAAAAATAAAATCATCATTAATATATTAGTTTTTAAATGTTACTAACTAGGCTAATTATGGCCAAACTGCTAGTTGCTAGCATGCTTTGACACATCCTTACATATTTTAGCATACTGTCAGCAAACTGACTAACTAAAAAATGTTCAAGTTCGTTCATAAAAAATGCAAAACGTTACTATTACTTAAGGCCAACTTGCTAGTTTGTTGTTAGCATGTTTTAGCACATTGCTAACTTGTTTTCACATATGCTGTGTATGTTTTAACAAGCTGTTGGCATAATTTAGCACATTGCTAGCATAAGTTAATATGTTTGTATCATGAGCTGCGTCCCAAATCGCATACTTATGCACTATTCTGCGCCATTTTGTAGTATAAATAGTGTAAGTAGTGTGTTCACACTGAAAACTCTAAAAATAATAAGTGCACTTTAATTACCCGGATGATGCACTCATTCAGCTGCTAAATTGAAGTGTGTAATGATGGACACTTCACGCACTCAACGAACGCAGGTTTGCTCACGTAGCGGAAGGGGCGGAGCTATCGGACGCACATGTTGGATAACTTTTTTTATTTTGGATGGTGAAAGCAAAATTCTCCTACGAGAGTGATTATAGCGCCTCCCGATGGTGAATGCGGCAGTACTTACGGCAGATATTATTTGATAATTCGGTTGCTTATTTCACTGATTTGGCAACCGTCAAACGTCATCAGGGAAACGCTTTGAATTTCTGCTTAGTAAAAAAAACATAAGTGTGCCATTTGGGACAACACTACATACTATCCAGTTGAGTGTGTAAGTGCATAAGTACATAGTGCATGAGTGCATAGTGTATAGTGTGCCATTTGGGACGCAGCTATGGTTTAAGTTGCTGCTAACATGTTTGTAACTTGCTCTTTTATGATTATAACAATACTGTCAGGCTGATAGTTAAAACAAGAATCTTATAACAACAAGTTGGTTAAATGTTTTACCTAGCATGTTGACACATTCTAACAGCTCAGTTTCAGCAAACTGACTAGCTAAAACATTCATTCAAGTAAAAAAAAAGAAATGTTATCAAATACCTCTTGTTAAAATGCTAGTTTGTTGTTAGCATGTTTTAGCACACTGCTAACTTGCTTTGCCATGTCTGTATCATGCTTTAACAAGCTATTAGCATAACTTAGCACATTGCTAGCATGAATTAACATGTTTCTGTCATGGTCTAAGTTGTCGCTTACATGTTTGTAACAAGCTTTTGTATGATTTAAGACATTTATAGCACGTTGTAACTAGTTGGTTAAATGTTTTATTTTGCTAGCATGTTGACACACTCTAACATATTAGATCAGTTTCAGAAAACTAAAACGTTAATTCATTTAAAAAAAAGTGTTATTAATAACTTATGGCCAAATTGCTAGTTTGTTGTTAGCATGTTTCAGCACACTGCTAAAAGTTCTGACATGTCTGTATCATGTTTCAACAAGCTGTTGACATAATTTAGCACATTGCTAGCATAAATTAACATGTTTTTGTCATGGTTTAAGTTGCTGCTAACATGTTTGTAACAAGTTTTGTTTGATTTAAAACATTTAGAGTATGTTATAACAAGTTGGTTAAATGTTTTATGTTGCTAGCATGTTGACACATTCTTACATATCGCATTTTCAACAAAAACTAAAACACTCATTTAAGAAACTTATGGCCAAATTGCTAGGTTGTTGTTAGCATGTTTAATACATTGCTAAAAGTTTTGACATGTCTGTATCATGTTGTTGGCACATTTTAGCACATTGCTGGCATGAATTAACATGTTTCCGTCTTGGTTTAAGTTGCTGCTAACATCTTTGTAACTTGTTTTTATATGATTTATTACATTTATAATATGTTATAACAGGGTTGGTAAAATGTTTTATGTTGCTTTTGACACATTCTTACATATTAGCGCAGTGTCAGCAAATTAAATACTCAAATAAAATAACTAATTGTTTTCAACCACTTGTGATCAAATACAGTACATGGTTAATACAGCTATGAGGGATGCTTTTCTATGGATTTAATAGTTTTATTATATATGGGTCTGATTACAACTTTAAACCACAATTTTAAGCATTTAGATGTCAGAAAATGTCCACAACTTTTTATTTTATTTGTTTCTTTGTTTGTTATTTGAAATCAGGGATTTTCCAAAAAATATATAGATTTCATAACTCTTCTGAAAATAAAACATTTGCATTGTGTTCTCAAAAAATGAAAACAAATATCTGGAAATTTTGCATCTTTTTGTTATTTTAAGCAAAATTAGCTTTAAATCACAGCATGTTTGGTAAAAATGTCAACAACTTTTCCAGAGAAACGGTATTTTCAAGTGTTCAATTCAGGAGTTTTTCCTATATCTGTAAAGATAGTGCTTTAATTTATAAAACTAGTAAGTATTTTATGCATTAAATATATATATATATATCTTGAATATTCATTCATTGAGTTTTTGCATTTTACAATTTAAAGCATTACCCCTACCCTACCAAAACTACAGCGTTGAAAGAAAAGAAAAAGAAGGAAAAAAATAGATATATAAATATACACAAACACACACACATTTACACATATACATGCATAGAGTTCCTGAGTTGACAGTGAGAAAACAGTGTACCAAAATTGTTCAGTCCATATGTTGTCATTTAACATGAGGAGCTTGGCAACATACAAAAGAGGGAATATACAAAAGAGGTGCATCTTAATACAAAAAATAAATAAATAAATAAATAAATAAATATATATATATATATATATATATATATATATATATATATATATATATATATATATATATATATATATATTCAGCAAATTAATTAATAATATTTTTTTTTTAAATGTCATATTCTCTTGAATCACAAAACCTTCCAGATATATCAAAGTTGACAGTGAGGAAATACATTTATGCATTAAATATTAATCATTATAATTATATATACTTTCTAAAACATCTTACTGTGCAGTGGATTGTATTTTAAATGTATTAAAGATGAAAATAATATGCTTGTATAGCTGATTTCTTTTGTCTTTGCTATGATGACAGTAAGTAATTTTTGACTAGATATTTTTCAAGACACTTCTATACAGCTTAAAGTAACATTTAAAGGCTTAACCAGGTTAATTATAGTAATGAGGCAAGTCATTGGACAAAAGTGGTTTGTTCTGTAGCCAATCTGGGGGGGAAATTAAGGGTAATAACATTGATAGCATTTTAAAAATTAAATTCCCACTAAATAAGACTTTCTGCAGAAGGAAAATATTTTAAAATAATTTCCCCTGCTCTGTTAAACATCAAAATATCTGAAAAACTATTTAAATGTCACAGGAATGCTAATAATTTTAATTTAATAACATAATTGGGTCTACCTGGCCGAAACGATGGTGGCGTCTCCCTCATTCCACTGCAGTCCAGGGATGCATCTGAGCATCTGTTTGGACAAAAGGAAAAGGCCTGGGAAAAACACAGACCCTGCAGCTATGATGGACAACATGATGGTCCCTCGAAGATGAGCTCTGGCAAAACTGCGTTCACAAAATCCCCGCGCAGCTCAGTCCGGATCCCGAATCTGCAAAACACAAACCGCAACTCAATCAAACCAACATCATCAATGCAGAAACAAAGCGCTCTTATCTTCAACAACCAGGGGGAAATGATTCTCTCGAGCCTGAATTGTGTTGCGTAAACGCTGTTATTATGTCCGCCCCATATGGTAGCACATGTGGCCAGTCACAAGCAACATAAGAGTAACACATGCAAACACGGTCACATGGCAAAGACACAACTAATGGCCACAGTCAATAACATCCTGCATTTTAGCATTGAATCACACTGGGCCTTTATTAGTCCAATGCAGCCTGCTGTGGTGCGTTTATGAAGACTGTCGATAAAAAGCACACGTTTAATACATTTTCAATAGAGGCATCAAATAAATGAACAACAGACTAATTTAAAAGCATGCACTATTTCTATGAATTTGGCATTGTAAAAAAAAAAAAAAAGTGTTGTAAAATGTAATTAAAACCAAGATGTTAGAAAATGTATGCTGTGTTTTTCATAAAAAGCAGAAAAAAAGAAGCAGCAGAATATACACTCACCGGCCACTTTATTAGGTACACCTTACTAGTATTGGGTTGGCTTTCGCCTTCGGAACTGCCGTAATCCTTCGTGGCATAGATTCAAGGTACTGAAAATTTCCTCAGAGATTTTGCTCCAGATTGACTTGATAATATCACGCAGTTGCTGCAGATTTGTCAGCTGCACATTCATTGTGAATCTCCCGTTCCACCGCATCTCAAAGGTGCTCTATTGGATTGAGATCTGCTGATTGGGGAGGCCATTTGAGCACAGTGAACTCATTGTCATGTTCGAGAAACCAGTCTGAGATGATTCACGCTTTATGACACGGTGTGTTATCCTGCTGGAAGTAGCCATTAGAAGATGGGTACACTGTGGTCATAAAGGGATGGACATGGTCAGCAACAATACTCTTGACAGGCTGTGGTGTTGACATGATGCTCAATTGGTAATAATAGGCCCAAAGTGTGCCAAGAAAATATCCCCCACACCATTACACCACAACCACTGGCCTGAACTGTTGATACAAGGCAGAATGGATCCATGCTTTCATGATGTTGATGGCAAATTCTGACCCGACCATCTGAATGTGGCAGCAGAAATGGAGACTCATCAGAGCAGGCAACGTTTCTCCAATCTTCTATTGTCCAGTTTTGGTGAGTCTGTGTGAATTGTAGCCTCAGTTTCCTGTTCTTAGCTGACAGGAGCGGCACCCGGTGTGGTCTTCTGCTGCTGTAGCCCATCTGCCTCAAGGTTGGACGTGTTGTGTGTTCAGAGATGCTCTTCTGCAGACCTCGGTTGTAACGAGTGCTTATTTGAGTTACTGTCGCCTTTCTATCAGCTGGAACCAGTCTGGCCATTCTCCTCTGACCTCTGGTATCAGCAAAGCATTTGCGCCCACAGAACTGCCGCTCACTGGATATTTTCTCTTTTTCAGGCCATTCTCTGTAAACCCTAGAGATGGTTGTGCATGAAAATCCCAGTAGATCAGCAGTTTCTGAAACACTCAGATCAGCCCGTCTGGCAACAACAACCATGCCACGTTCAAAGTCACTAAATCCCCATTCTGATGCTTGCATTGAACTGCAGCACATGGTCTTGACCATGTCTACATGCCTAAATGCATTAAGTTGCGGCCATGTGATTGGCTGATTGGAAATTTGCATTAATGAACAGTTGGGCAGGTGTACCTAATACAGCAGCCGGTGATACAGATAATAAAATATGAATTATGCATTAATATACAGAAATAGTAATAATATAGATAACAATACTGAATATTTTTAAGTTTAAGATAGATAGATAGATAGATAGATAGATAGATAGATAGATAGATAGATAGATAGATAGATAGATAGATAGATAGATAGATAGATAGATAGATAGAACACAGACAGATGAACGGACGAATGAAAGGATGGACAGACAGGCAGATGGATGGATGGATGGATGGATGGATGGATGGATGGATGGATGGATGGATGGATGGATGGATGGATGGATGGATAGAACACAGACAGACGAACCGACGAATGAAAGGATTGACCGACAGGCAGATAGATAGATAGATAGAGATAGATAGATAGATAGATAGATAGATAGATAGATAGATAGATAGATAGATAGATAGATAGATAGATAGATAGATAGATAGACATATAAGATAAAACTACTGATCAATTACTAAAAGATAAATTATAATAACAATACTTTAAACAGTAATCTAAACTGACATTTTGCTAATTATATTAATAATAACAGCAAACTTAAATATTATAGCTAGACATATTTACATGTTTGCAAGCGTATACATATTTATGAAATCCCAATAAAGTATTTACATTTAGAAAATACAAATATGATGTAGAAAACAAGATATACGCCCCAGAAATCAAGTGATGAGTCAATGGTGTTTTGACAGGCTCCTATTGTTGTCCAAAACAAAGGATGGACCTGCATCCCCTAATCATCATCATCATCATCATCCTCACTAACGCTTTCGCCCATCAATCTCCAGCATGCAAACATGCTTCAGCACAGCTTTATTAAAGCCGCAAAAACATGAGTATTTCAGAGAAGCATTCATTGATTCCAGACTCATCGCTAAAGCAGCTGATGTAAACGCACGTGAATCCCAGCTAAAAATGCGCAATGCGCTATCATGCAATCACACACACAAAAACCCGGGTTTAATCAGAAAAACACCATCATTTATTCAATATACATACAAAATGGTCGACCATGCTTTCACACAAAACATTAGTATTAATATCAAGCAAATGTCACGGCTGACGGAAGACAATGTGTACTGTTATTCGCATGACATAACTCATACTAATAATGGTGGCTTGATTTAAATTAGGCCTCTATAAAAGCACAACAATCATATTGTGAATGACAAAATGAATGAGGGTGAACATACGTGTCGGTCAGCGGCCTGTCGCGCCTCGCGTCCCCGCAGAACACAGCAGCGAACACCGGGTGCATGTTGGATCCACTGACATGATTTTTGCGGTTATTTCACGCGGTCTTTGAGGTAAATAAATCAGCTCCGGAGGTCAAACACGCGGTGGTTCGGTCCGCTTTTCGCACTCCAGCATATAGATATCTTTCGACGTCGCGTGAATGTGTTTATTTCCTTCGAGGCTGAAAAAAACGCGCTTGGATAAAGTCTGCCTGATATGATGATGCTACATGATCGATCAGCCGGAGGACAGCAGTGCTGCAGCGCGTGTCCATCACCCTCCGCACGGCTTTACATTCCCCGGATAAATCAATACCGCCCCGCGAGAACTCAATCCACTGCACGCCGGACCCCGACGCTCCTCCGCCGGCGACCTTTCCACCCGCGAGCCGCTGGTAGTATGTGGGTCAGTGGAGTGTGTGCGTTTGTGTGTGTGTGTTAAGAGATCAACATCCGAGCATCTGCTATCACAAAAACAATGAACGGAACGGAGAGTTCCTCCCGCTGGAGAACACTATGAGGAGCCGTGTTGGGAGCTGATAATTGTTTGTTTGAGATATTCTCTTATGGGGAAAACGTCAAGAGTCGTCGGCTGGAAATCCCACGAGTCTGCGTGCATGCATCCAAAAGTCTTATATGGAAACGTTGCTGTATTTATTATATTCAGCGCTATTTAAAGTGAAGTCAAAACTATTAGCCACACTGTGGATTTCTTTTTCTTTTTTTAAATATTTCCTAAACGATCAAGGAAATTTTTACAGTATTTCCTATATTTTTTCTTCTGGAGAAAGTCTTATTAGTTTTTTTAAGCTGGAATAAAAGCAGTTTTAAAATTTTTATAAACCATTTCATGGTCGATATTATTAGCCCCCTTAGTGAGGGCTGATAATCCCAGCTTCAAATATAGAGAGGTTATATTGGTGGTTTGTTACTTTTATTAACCTATCATGGGTCTCCTAAAAAAGTTCTTCAGCTGCTCTAAATCATTCTTATTTCAAATTAAAATATATTACATGTAATTGAATTTCAAAATGTATTATTGAAGCTGCAAGCAGCGATGAAAGGGACCTCACACCCGGACTCACCACCTTAGGATGACAGGGAACAGTAAACAATAATTAAGCTGATATACAGTTGAAGTCAGAATTATTCGCCCCCTTTGATTTTTTTTCTCTTTTTAAAATATTTCCCAAATTATGTTTAACAGAGCAAGGAAATTTACACAGCAAGTCTGATATTTTTTCTTCTAGAGAAAGTCATTTTTTTTTTATTTCGGCTAGAATAAAAGCAGTTTTTAATTTTTAAAAACCATTTCAAGGTCAATATTATTAGCCCTCTTAAATATATACAGGGGCCTAATGATTTGAGAGGGCTGATAATTACGACTTCAAATATAGAGAGGTTATAATGGTGGTTTGTTACTTTTATTAACCTGTCATGGGTCTCCTAAAAAAAGTACTTCAGCTGCTCTAAATCAGCACTGCTGTAAAAAGATCTAAAGCCCTTAGTTCTTCCAAGACAATTCTCTTATTTAAAATTAACTTATTTACATGTTATTGAATTTCAAAATGAAATATTAAAGCAGCAAGCAGCGATGAAAGGGACCTGACACCTGGACTCACCACCTTAGGATGACAGAAAGCAGTTAACAATAATAATTAACCTGATATAAATCTATAGTCAGAATTATTAGCCCCCCTTTGATTTATTTATTTATTTATTTTTAAATATTCCCTAAAAGATGTTTAACAGAGCAAAGAAAATTTTCACAGTATGTCTGATAATGTTTTATCTTCTGGAGAAAGTCTTATTTGTTTTATTTCGGCTAGAATAAAAGCAGTTTTTAATTTTTTAAACACCATTTTAAGGTCAGAATTATTAGTTTACAGAACAAACCATTGTTATACAATGACTTTGCTAATTACCCTAACCTGCCTAGTTAACCTAATTAACCTAGTTAAGCCTTTAAATGTCACTTTAAGCTGTATAAAAGTGTCTCGCAGAATATCTAGTAAAATATTATTTACTTTATTAAAACTATTATGTTCAGAAATGTGTTTAAAAAATTCGGATCTCCATTAAACAGAAATTGAGGTGAAAAATTAACAGGAGGGCTAATAATTCTGACTTCAACTGTATATGAAAAACTTCGAAGAAAAAAAAAAAATTCACCAATTTATGCCAAACTTCCTTCTGTCAGCAGGTGGCGCTGTGACTGTGACTCAATATTGTTATTTAGATGTCTTCAGGAGAGGAATCCCATCGAACCTGTGATTTTTAAGGCAGATCGGACATTGTGTGGCTGAGTTATATCAAAAACACAAGACGTGTCACTCGTATTCTGTTGAACGGGGAAAAGTGTAACTGTCAATATGGTGAATGAACCCCTGCCTTCTAGTACAGGAGCCAATCAGCGATCGCTATATGGTGAATAAAGCCCGCCTTCTAATAAAAAAACCAATCAGCGATCGCTACAGACTGACATGTCTCCAAGGGAGGGGTTTGGACCAGATGAGAATTCCTGCAGATTTTGTGCAACTCAAACGTTTCGAAATGAAACTAAAGAGACAGTTGTTGTTGAATGTAATTGACGTTTCTTAATATAAAAATTTAATCGTAAGCTTAGCAAGCAATTTTGGAGAATTTGATGTTTCCCCATTCAAACAGAATGCCCGAGCATACTGCCCAAGAGGCATTTCAAAAATGGCCGCCGAGTGAATTGACTTGCCTTAAAAGGGACTTTGGTTACACGCCCTTCAACAAAAACTCAACATCACAGATGCCTTTGGATTAAACTAGCGAAATGTGGATTCAAGCTGACAATATTTGTAGATGGCGTTTGTAATACATCCTTTTCACATTTCCCAGTTTCCCAGTAGCGGAAGGCGTCATAATTAGCAAACCTAGAGCGCAGTGAATGGGAGAATACAACAACAACAAAAAACTATTTTTACAATCCTATTTGCTGAAATAATAAAACAAAAACTTCCCAAAATAAACAAAACAGTAATGCAAACCCAATACAGAGATATGATTACTCCATTTCCTTTTAATAGTCAAAAATTACAAAATGATAACATGATCTACATCATCTACAAAATAATAACATAATAATCCATGATCATGGTAAGCATCAACATTTTCGTTTCGCTCTGTGTATAGACATGCATACTGCTGAGAAATATAAAAATATAAATATAAATACATCCCGTTATTATTTTACGTTCCTTTTTTGTTGTTTTACCGATTGGTCGACTATAATTTAAAATAGTTGTAGTGTTTGACGAATTACAAGTGGTAGAGTACAATAAGGCATTGAGATGCATTGCCGGAGCTGTACAGGAGATTAGAGGTATCATTTCAGCTTAATGCTAAACTAAAAAGAGAACAACCTAAATATGATCTGAAGCTTATAACGACACCTACATTGTTATTTTTTTTTTGTTTGTTTTTTCTAGACAGGAACAAATCTCCAATTAAAAAAAAAATATTAAGCCTTGTGAATATCCAGATATACAGTACCAACACTAAACCGATCAAACGAATCACTCCAGTACAAAACCAAGAAGCTCCAATTGTTTTTAAACCTTGCGCTAGTAAAAGAGTTTTATTTCCTTGCATCACTTAAGCGTACATAATTAAGCCCTTCTTTAAACACACCATTCACAACTAAAGAAACAATCTTCTACAAAAACTAAAGGCTAAAAGTCTTAATGGAAGTAGTGACGGCAGCTACTCTCCGCTGACGCTGCTCAAAATTAAATATAACATGAAGGTAAACAGCGAAGCGTTTAAATATTACGTCCTATATTAGCCCTCTCTTTGAATTTCCTACTTCAGCACCTCATTGTGTAAAATCAGCCAGAGGATTCAGAGTTTCAGCGTTTCTTATTCTACTACATGAATTAGATCCAGACTAGGGCTGGGCCGATAAACGATACTATATCGAATCGCGATAAAACGTCGATTATGATAAGCTCTGGACTTTTTTTACTCTATATTGATCTAGAAGCAGAAATGTACAACAATGAAATCTAAAAGGGTGTTCATATAAGAGATGTACTGAATTTTCGACTATCAAAAAGTTATTATGCCATTTAGGACGTACTCACACTATGCAATCCGAACCAGGCCTAGGCCCGTTTCCTGGACCGTTTGAGAAGGGTAAAGGCTCTAATTTGGGCTCAGGTGCGATTCACTTGGCCGGCCCTGGTCCGGTGCCAAAGCGCAGTTCACTTAGGCTCACACTTGTAGTGTGAGTGCAAACCACGCCTGAGCCCGAAACTAGTGATGTGCGGATCGATACTGAAATATCGATATCTCCGATACCAGCTTTATATGTTTAAGAATCTTTTTTCTCATCAAAATATCAATATTTCAATAATTTGGAGCAAATATTAAGTTTATTGGAAATAGAAATACAGTGGAAAGTAACCACAATTACCCTAGTTTATCTGAATATTGCCAACTTTGTCGGAACTACTTGTTCTTCCGCCTGCCAAGTCATGTGCGTAATATGGCAGTGTACAACTACAAAGCACGCTAGCTAGCCACTGGCACATGTTGTTACGGTATATGTGGAGCTACTTCACTTCCACCAACTGTGTGGTTTGTGTTGCGTGTAACAAAACAGTGAGGTACTGTTGTAATACCACAAACCTAATCAAACATCTGCATATAAATCACAAGACAGAATATGACAGTCATGATGACTAGGTGGTCAGAAGAGGAGGAAAGGAGAGGCACAGGTGCTGCAAGGGCGAGACAGACATCGCCTTAGGTGCAGCAGACAGGCACAATCCAGGTACAGTGGGAGAAAATGTGGCGATGTGGCTGTATTTTGGGGGCTTGGATTTTTAGTGACAAGGATAAACAACGCAAGAAGGTTAAAACACTTTCAGGGGAACCGGATTAACATATCAATGGAGGTAGAAGTGTGAATTTTTTTTTTTTTTTAAAGATGTTCAGGCAGGCGTTTTCAGATATACATGCTCAGATGCTGTCTATAAATATGTAAGCTGGCTCTTTTTTTGGATGATAATTCTTCATCAATAAACAATAAACAAGAATAACCTGTAATATTTCTCGTATTCAGTATGAAGGGACACTTTTAAGTACACTACTTGTTACTTTCATTTCCCAAACAGTAAAATTTGGGCGGTATACTCGCCTTCATTTTACTTGGTTTCAGATAGGAAACCAGTGGTATCGCACATTGCTACCCGAAACTGAAGACGAGACGTGACTTTTAAAGGGCTGTTTCATATGGATTTATTAATCATTGTTACTGTTCAATGAACGCAAACTGTCGTAGATTATTAAAGATGCAAACCCCTCACTGTACGACAGTTGCACCTTTAGCAAACCTCCTAATTCCTGCAGAACGAGGGCTTTATGATTGTTTATGAGTGTTAAAAGTGGCTGATCTGTTCGGCGAAAGATGCGTCACTGCATCTCAAATGACTTAAAACGGTATAAAGAAATCTCCACTGTGCTGAGCGAGAGCGCTTCTCCACTGAACAGCGCATCATCGATGACGTAAGATTGCTCAGGCCCGAATGCTATGCGAGTGTAAGCCGTTGGGGGAGACGGGAGGGGGAACAAGTGTGCTTCGGCCCGGTTCAAGGCAACTGTACATAGTGCGAGTACGCGCTTAATGGACCCTCTAATTTTTGTGGCTTAAATCATTGTTGGGAGACTCTTTTAAATCTGGAAGCGTTAAAAACTTATATCGAAATATATATCGTTATCATTCAATATGGAAAATGACCATCGAGATTTCATTTTTGCCATAGCGCCCAGCCCTAATCAAGAGGATAATCATTGAAAAAATAAAAGTGTATATTTTAAAACCTCACAGTACAGTCATGGCCAAATCATCACGCTCACAAACATCCTATAGACTTATAAATGTAATATTCTTTCACTTACAAATGATCGTCTCACACAACATAAAAAATTAAACCGGCTACATTTTACTAAAACAGTCCTACTTTAAACTAAAATAATATAATAATAAAAATAAAATGGGGGTCTTTTCACTTTGGATTTTCATTGGCGAGTTGTTTAAAGTTTCCATAATCCAATTTCAATGCTTCACTTTTTATTTTTTACCTAACATGGATAATCGGTGACAAATTCAGAGCTGCACAGACTCAGAGTTTAATTATTTGGCCAGTGCTGTACAGACATGATTGGATGTGTGAATAAAAGAATTATTTTTTTAGTATAAAGATAAACGGGGTATGATTTTTGACAACGTGACATTATTTTTATTAATATTACTATATCATGAGTAATTAATGTTTTTAAAAGACAGTGCAAAAACACTGTCATGATATTCAGGATTATTGAGAATCAAATATATTACGTTTGTGCAAATAATTGAATAGCTTTAGAAAAAAATGCATTGAATTGATCAAAATTTACAGTAAAAACTAGGTCTGCAAGTTTTTAACTTTAAAGGGGACTTATTATGCTATGCTACCTATTAACTATAATGGCGGATGGCAGCTTCTCACTCAGGGCTGTCTATGCAAATGAGGGAGAGATCGTCAATAAATGGGCGGAGCTTTCCATCCTCTGATGACACATCCAAAGGGAGAATCAATCAAAGTGTTTCTGCAGGTTGGCGCAATAACCTAGTGGTTAGCACGCCGACAAAATGGTGCTGTAGCACCTCAGGATGTCCCGAGTTCAAATCCCGGCTCAAGGACATTTTCCGACCCTGCCCGCCTCTCGCTCCCACTTTGCTTCCTTTCTCATTACGGTCTTACCTAATAAATGTAAAAAATGTATCTGTGTTTCAGCAGACTGTTTTACTAAGTCTGATCATTGTGCTATGCTACTTATTAGCTATAACGGCAGACGACTGCTTCTCACTCAGGGCTGTTTATGTTAATGCGGAAGAGATCATCACTAATGGGCGGGGCTTCTACAAAGGGACAATGTCAATCAGAGAGTCTCTGCAGACGGTTTTTATCAAGTGTGTTTTTCATGCTATGTTACCTATTAACTATTATGACGGACGGCTGCTTCTCACTCAGGGCTGTTTATGCTAATGAAAGAGAAATGGTCACTAATGGGTGGGGCTTTCCCCCTCTGATGACACTTACAAAGGGAGAATGTCAATCAAACTGTTTCTGCAGACTGTATCAAGTGTGTTCATCATGCTATGCTACTTATTAACTATAATGGCGGATGACTGCTTCTCACTTAGGGCTATTTACGCTCAATAGGGAGAGAATGTCACTAATGGGCGGGGCTTTCCACCTCTGATGACACATAAAAAGGGAGAATGTCAATCAAAGTGTCTCTGCAGACTGTTTTTATCAAGTGTGTTCATCATGCTATGCTACCTATTAACTATAATGGTGGATGGCTGCTTCTCACTCAGGGCTGTCTATGTTAACGAGGGAGAGATCGTCACTAATGGGCGGGGTTTCTACAAAGTAAGAATGTCAATAAGAGTGTTTCTGCAGACTGCTTTTGTCTAATGTGATCAGTATGCTATGCTACTTATTAACTATATTAGCGGATGGCTGCTTCCCACTCAGGGCTGTCTATGCAAATGAGGAAGAAATAATCACTAATGGGTGGGGCTTTCCCCCCTCTGATGACAAGAAACAAAAGGGGAATATCAATTAAAGTGTCTCGGCAGACTGTTTTTATCAAGTGTGATCATCATGCTATAATACCTATTACCTATGACAGTGGATAGCCGCTTCTAACTTAGGGCTGTCTATGCTAATAAAGAAAAGATCGTCACTAATGGGCGGGGCTTCTACAAAGGGAGAATGTCAATCAGTGTTTCTGCAGACTGTTTTTATCAAGTGTGTTCATCATGCTAGGCTACTTAATAACTATAATGCCAGACGACTGCTTCTCACTCAGGGCTGTCTATGTTAATAAGGAAGAGATCGTCATTAATGGGCGGGGCTTCTACAAAGGGAGAATGTCAATCAGTGTTTCTGCAGACTGTTTTTATCAAGTGTGTTCATCATGCTAGGCTACTTAATAACTATAAAGGCAGACGACTGCTTCTCACTCAGGGCTGTCTATGTTAATGAGGGAGAGATCGTCATTAATGGGCGGGGCTTCTACAAAAGGAGAACGTCAATCAAAGTGTTTCTGCAGGCTGTTTTTATGATGTGTGATCATAAAAAAAACAGAATTAATTAATTTCTCTCATTACAGGCTGGTTATATTTACTCAGTTGCAACACACCCCCTTATAAAAGTGATTTTTGCATAAGACCCCTTTTAAAGTCATAAAAGAACACTGATTTACATAATAAATGATATAAATGACATTTTAAAATATAATAAAACAGAAAAACTTTTCATGAAGTAGTAATTTTTTACGTTTTTACTGTATATTTTGATCAACTTAGCACAGCTTGATTAGCATAACTGTTTAAAAACACCGTAGTGACTCCAATCCTTTGAATGTTAGTGTTCAAATATATTACTGTAATGGGAAATGTTTTGGAAATTAATAATAAATGTCACAATCACACACGTACACGTAAAAAAAAACCTATAACCCAAGCAATGTCTTTGATTTTGAGGTGTCAAGAATATAACCTAATAACAATACTCAAATATGCATGTATGCGCTTCTCCGTTTTGCTGGATATTACGTAAATAAATCATCTATTTGTTCAAGTCTCTTATATCTTTCATTTTTTTTATCCTGCTTTTAGCCTTTCATCCGAATCACCAAAACTATTATGACTTATGAATGGATCTTGAGGCTAGTTCATAGCATTGAATGCCAGCAAACAGACGAGAAATCATATAACAGGCAGAGGAAATACAGTAGCAACACACAAATCACAGTATCATCAGAGTCCTGCAGCGATGAAAACAGAAAAGATGAAGAAGAAAGAAGACAAACCTTTTTTTTTTTTTGCCTAACAGCGATGCTTCACATCATTTACTCACCCATATGACTTTCTCTGCTCCGAAGAACACTAAAGAAGATATTCAGCAGAATGTCTGAGCTGCTCTCTTCCATGCAACGAAAACCAATGAGCTCCAAAGCCAAAACAAACAAAAATATATATATATAAATGCTATTCTGTGATAGAATAAAAGTGAGTGGATTGAGTTTTAGGTGCCATCTTCCCACATTTAAGCCCTGATCCTTCTTGTTTAGCCAAGATGGCATCGGAAGACCGAATAGTCCTCTCGGCGAGACAAGAAAACATACTTTAACTTTTGTTTTGTTTTTTTGAAAGGGATAAGTGTAAAGCGACTATGTCTTAATATGTGCATCATCCAGAGGTGTTTCATGCTACAGTAGTTGTCATTGTATGCGTGAGCAACTTCCACCCAGAATGCCTCGTTTCACAGTTTCTCCTTGGCGTCTTGTGGTTCTTTAGAGTGTAAATGGCTGTTTTGAGTCATACATGTGTGTGTTTAAGTGTGTGTGTGTAGTAGCTACTGTGAGTGTTGTAGTATCCACCTTATTTTTAACCACTATATTATGTTAGATTTCCTTCAAATCACTTAGGCTGTGTCTGAAATCGCATACTTTCATACTATATAGTACGCTAAAAAGAGTAGTGCGATCCGAGTATGTCCAAATTCATAGTATTATAAAAACAGTATGCAAGAAGTACCCGGATGACTTAATACTTCCGGCGAGATTCTGAAGTACGCATCGGATGGACGCTATGCTCTCCCATGATGCACCATGAGAAGACTCATGAATGGGAGTGAACCAATGCAACTGATGCAGGTAGGTCACGATGACAAAACGGTAGATGTAGTATGTCCGAGTTCAATTCATACTACTGACATTCATGTTGTATATAACGCCCTTTTCTAATGGCCAAGTATACATTTCAAATGCAGCACCTACTACGTCGTAGGCGGCAGCCTTTGTTGTATTGTGATTGCGTCGCTTTTAGTGGCTAGCTAACTTTTAAAAAGTCTATGCAAACAAAAGTGCTGCGACAGACTTATTTCTTACTGAAATGGAATATTGAATAGGGGGCGGGGCTTATTTTTGGACTTTTTCTCTCTTCTTTCACTTGCAACAAACTAGTAGAAGGGCGTGGCTAAGCAGATTTCGACCAATCCGTCAAACTGTCGTCATCAGTGAAAGATCGTCGTTCCAGAACGAAAGGAGTCAAATTTTGATTACCAAAACAAGCAGTTTTTTTCTGTTGGTTCCTTCACCTTAAAAGGACACAAGAAAACTAACCATATTGATTTCATTAGCTTACAGTGCTAGTTTCGTCGTGGACAATTCATCTGTGCATGTCAGTAAGAAAAAAATTTGTTTACCATAGTAAACTAAAAATGAAAACGTTTCTCCTTAAAAAATTCACATCTTAAATAACAAATGGCGAGTAAACCATAATTTATTAATTTAAAAAAATACATAGACCAATTTTAGTAACATTTCAGCTGATTGTCCAACATTTCTATCTCTTATGGAGTTGTCAGTATGGTTAGAAAACACTATATTATTTACTATAAATTACTGTAGTATATCTTCATGTGTCAGCTGAAAATAGATTGCAGATATTGCAGCTTCTGTTATTATTAATTATTATTATTATTTTGTTTATGATATCCATTTTCACATTCGGATTCCAATGTCTGAATATTAAATTGTTAAAATGACTATAATTCAATTAAATACACTTAAGAATAAAACATGATGTGTTCTTTTGCATTGTGTTGATATTATATTGCCATTCTGGCATTATATAATGGTCTTAAAATGAGAATAATATCATTTATCGCGATATATTTTGGTGCGATAAATCGTACGACAAAAATCGATATCGTGACAGAAAAATAAGGTGGATACTAGTGTAAAAGTGTGTGCGCTACAGGCCTGCTCTGCTAGCTCTGAGGCTGCGGGATGATGCTGGAGCAGTCGGTCACCAGCAGATCCACCACCGTGTTTCCGCTCACGAACACTGTGGGCGCCGAGACCATGTTGCAGAGGGTGACGGTGCTGCCGGGCATGGCTTCACTGGTGGTGGTGGTGGTGGTCGTGATGATGGGACTGGGGTCGCTGGCAGGGGGGTTGTGGGTACCCATGTGGCCTTGCAGCTGTGTGGGGGTCTTGCAGTGCACGCCGCAGAGCTGGCAGACCAGGATGCCGCCGGAGCCGGTGCTGCCGAAGCCTCCGCCGCTCTCCTTCCACTCCTGGCCGTGGTGCTTCTGAGCGTGCACCCGCAGGTACGTCAGCGTGGTGAAACCTGACAAGGGGAACATTCTTTTATTATTTGAAAATAGCGATCGCCTTGTATATTTGTTTGTTTGTTAACTGTGATCTTTCCGCCACCGGGACGCTTACCTTTACACTTTAACTGTTTTTATACATGTTTAATGAAATCTAAATCTAATCAGGTCAAACTATATATCGTTGGAAAGGTCTAAGACTTCTGAATACGTATTTTACCACAAAGGAAGACTAATGAGCTAAAATGTGGAGGTAAAGTAATACTGTGCGTTCACACCGAAAGTGGCGAGAATACTGCTAGTATAAATATCATTATTAAAAAGAAAAATTGCTTGAATAAACTGAAAAAGCCCCCCGAGATGAAGGCATGGAGACTGTGGTTTTTATATTTATGTAGAAAATTAAAAAATGTGTAATATTTTATTCCTTTCATTATTTTTCATTTGTAAAAATATTTCTGTACATCCTGTGTGTATTAAGCAATGTTTAAGTGAGGCGCACAACCAACATGCTCTTTGCTGGACTTTAGGCCGTACTCACACTAGGTATAGTTGCCTCGAACCGGGCCAAAGCATGCTTGTCCCCCCTCCCGTCTCCCCCGACGGCCCGCGCTCACACCACAAGTGGGCTTCGGCACGCTTACGTCATCGCTGCTGCGCTGTTCAGTAAGAAGCGCTCTCTCACTCAGCAGCACAGTGGAGATTTCTCTAGTTATATGGTTTCAGTCGTTTGATATGCCGTCAAATATTTCGCCAAACAGATCCGCCACTTTTGGCGCTCATAAACAATCATAAAGCTCTCGTGCTGCAGGAATGAGGAGTTCTGCTGAAGCCGCGCAGCTGTCGTACAGTGAGGAGTTTGCGTTTTTAATAAACTACGGCAGTTTGCGTTCACTGAACAGTAATAATGATTAATAAATCTCTATGAAACAGCCCCTTAAAAGTCACGTCTCGCTTTCAGTTTCGGGCTTTGGCGCGTTTTGCACTCACACACAAGCGTACCGCGCCAAAGCCCAAGTGAACCGCGCTCAGGCCCACCTCTTCCAACCGGGCCAGGGCTGGCCAAGTGAACCGTGCTTGAGCCCGATTCAGCGCACTCACACTCCTCAAACGATCCGGGAAACGGGCCTGGGCACGGTACGGATGGCATAGTGTGAGTAGGCCCTTAGACCTGCTTTCAGCTAGTCTATTACACAGCCTATTTTAGTTCCTCAAAAAAGCAACGCATCAACAATGCGCCTTAATGCTGTGTTCACACCAAACGTGGAACGCGCGGATAAATCGTGCTATTCGTGCGTAAATAGCCGCGTGAACATTTGAAGTTACTCGCTTCATTCGCACGTCAAACCCCACTTCATTCGCGCGTCAAATCCGCTTCAGAACAGATGCAGATTCGCGTGATGGGCAGGGCTTCTGTCTGCCCGGTGACTGTAGCTTTGTTGCTAAAAGGCTAACATGGATTTTATGAAGTAAATAACAGTGTTTATGTGCTTTATGAAGGCTGAAAAACAGTGTCGATATGTTTAGGGCCGTGTCTGAGTCCACTACATCCTTTCAGATGTGCATCCAGCTCTGTGAGCTCATAAACTCTTCCAGAAACTTAACCTGGCTGACGGAGGCTTTCAGCGGTGCTTCTGACTGAGCCAAGCCCAGTTTGATGAACTTCTTGTTCGTGTCGGCTGGAGGATTTCCCCTGGGACACCGACAACAGGCGATACGTCACGATCACGCCCCTCAAGAGTAAGCTCCTGATTGGTTAACGCGGCGCGAATGTCTTCTTTAGATTTTCAAACTCGAGTGATTTCACTCAATTCGCGCATATCGCGCCACAGGATGTCGATTCGCATGTTTGCATTGACTTAACATGTAAATCACTCGCATTTGATGTGCGTTCCGCGTCTGGTGTGAACGCAGTATGACACCTCTTTTCTAGACCAGCACTCCCATGAGTCCACAAAGTGGCGCAAATGGATTTGCCATTTAAACAACGTGACGCAAAGCAGGAAAATTAAGGTTGTGTTGGTCTGAAATTAGCAAAACATCAGGCCAAACACATCTTGCCCCTTATTGCGCCGGGTGTATAATAGGGCCCATTATGTTTCTGCAAGAAATTAAGATTTTGTTGTAAGAAAATCTATGAAACTGATCAAATGTGACAGATTAAAGAAATATATAATGCTACAGACTATTTCTAGTTTAATTAAATGTTGTTGTTGGAACTTTAAAAACAATAAATCAAGAAACATTTTATACAAAAGCAAGCAAAACTTTAGGGATTACTGATTATAATATTCATAATCAATAATATTAATCAATTATAATAATAATCTAATCTGCAAGTCAGTAGATTAGAATGGCTTCTGAAGTATTGCCAAAAACTGGAATAATGGTGTTGAAAAATTGCATAAAAAATACTTATTTAATAGTATATTAATACAGATTAAATGATCTATATATAATAGTTAGAATAATATTAATCATATTAAATGTAAATATATATACTTTTTATATTTTTCCCTTTTTTTAAATAAAATTAATGCAACCTTGGCAAGCATAGGACATTTGCCAAATTATTAATTTTCTTATGTCTGTCTTTTTGCCTATAAGTTTCAAAAGAAAAAGGAGGATGTACAGATTACATATACAAAATGACAGACAGAAAAACAGAGATAGACACCCAGCAAGACAAAAAGCATGATAGACAGGCAGAAAGAACAATATAGACAGAGAAAGAAAATAATAAACCCAGATACAAAGAACGATAGAAAAAAAAGATAGAAAGAATAGACTGCACTCACTGCGATTGCAGAGGTGGCAGGAGTGATGCTGTGATTGGTTGTGTACTCTCATGTGATCTGTGATGTAAGCAGCTGACAGCAGTTTGCCACAGATGTGACAGGGAACCTTCTCTTCGTGTCTGATCATGTGAGCGCGCAGACGGTCCCGCGTGGCGAAGCTGGATTCACACGTCTGCAACAAACACACACAACCTCCAAATCTAACAACTGCCTGCGCCTCTTACATAACATCTTTATTCCGTCACACACAAAACAATGAGGTAAAAAAATAAATAAATGAATAAAATCAATGGGTCTTCACACAAATTTCACACAATTGATGATCAAGTTTGCATCCTGATTTCATTTCAGTCTTGAATCTATTAAACATACATCAGGTACAGGTTGCTTACATCACCCATTTATTAATAATAAGCTAAATAAATAAATAACAAATATGTAATATATTTAGCAAAATGTTGCTTTTATTAAAGTTTTTCTGCAGATAAAATGCCAATAGAGTGACTATAGTCTGAGAAGTTATACTGTAATGTACTGTTTGGTGAGATCTGATTCAGCCATACCCTGTAAACATTAAAAACAGTTCTTGGGATTAAAGATCAAATCCCAATTTATCATAATGAGAATTGATAAAAATCAAGAACTACTAATGATACACATATCTGAACCATTTAGCATAAACATGAATAAAAACAACACTTATATACAATAGTAACTCTAAAAACAGTGAAAAAAAACTTGCATACCGGACATTTGAAGGGGCGTTCTGAAGAATGGACCTGTCTGACGTGACTATTGAGATGATCGGGCCTGTGAGAAGGACAAATGACAACATGTTATTCAGAGAAGGAGGTTTATTTTTTGTGAAAGCTAAAAGTACAGTCCAAGGGAGTGTTTGGGTCTTCTACATTTCTCTACTAAACACAACTGAAAATCAGCTACAAGAACATTCTTTTACAATATCTGTTTTTATCTGTAGTTAGTATCCATGTAACTATGATAAGAAATACCAGGTATGCTTGAATTTTATCCTTTTAGGGGCTGTTCACATTAAGCTTGGGCGGTATTACGGTATTATAGTGTACCGCGGGATCTAAAAATAGCAACGGTGTCAGTTACAATACTGTTATACAGTCATAAAATATTAAATATACTTTATTTAATGCCTACAAAAATGTATGCGTGATTGTCATCACGGGACAGTGTGAGGAGAGAGAGAGAGAGAGAGAGAGAGAGAGAGAGAGAGAGAGAGAGAGAGAGAGAGGGAGAGGTGACTAGTCGCGCTCCAAAGTGACCTGCAGTTTAGCAGTATTTCCCTTTTCGACTGAACAGAAGTTAGATGTGGTAAATATGAACTAGAGGTCTGCATTAGAGCTGAAGATCTTTGCCCGAACCCGGCGGGACCTGAAAAATCCAAATCCCTGCATTAAAATCCATCCCAGCAAAGGTGAAACAAATGATGACGAAGAAGGAAAAAAAAGGCGAATTTTAACGGCGGTCAAACCAGTCACTAGCTCAGAAGGAACGGTCATTCTAGGTATTTCGGCAGTCGCTCATACACTGCGTATTACGGTAGAGCACAAACCGCAAGCTGACAGGTAAAAAAAACAAGGCGACTCGCTACATTGAAACTGCTGTCATGGAAAATTAAGGGTGCTTTCACACCTGTGAATCGATTCAGTTGTTCCGAAACAGAGATTACAAATGTTACATTGTTGCTCTTTGCTCTTTGAGCGGTTCACTTTCACACTGCAAAGTTTCTAATCGGACCAAAATAGCTAAAACAAGTCACGTGTGAGTAAACTCTCCTTACACTGGTCAGAGTGTCAGGGTTTATTTTGCAGCGTCCCGCTAAGCTGTCAGGAGAGGTGGTGGTTTGGTGGTGATTGACAGGGTGTGCGCGCGCGACGTGTCTGAGGAGAGATGCGGTGGGGAGGGGTGAGAAGGGTGCGCGACAATGCCTATTTGAGAACCGGGAGGGAGACGCGAGATTAGCGGGAGATCATCACTCATTTGCGGGCATCCGGCATAACTCGCGAAACTTCCCGCCATACTCATAATTCAAATAGACACTCCCACACCCTCCCACTATAGTTCCTCTGACACTCCCCCTAAACAGAGCTGGACACGCCCACTTTTCTGATTTTTTCCAAAGTAGAGGTGTGAAAACACCCTGCTGAAACGAGGGGGTGTCATGGCCCTTTAACATGCATCAAAGTGCATTTTTGCATTTTCATGTGGGCAGAGATTTAAAAAAAAATTAATTAAAAAAAAAAAATCAGGAAAACCTGTTTATATAAATACCCATGTACATGCGGACATGGCCTCAGGCCCCGTTTACACTAATGCGTTTTAGTTTAAAAACGCATAAGTTTTGCTACGGTTACGCCAACCGTCCACACTACGCCGGAATTCTCGAGCGCCGAAAACGGAGCGTTTCGAAAACGCTGAAGAGGCCGTTTTCATTCTGAAACGCTGCTGCTCCGTCTCAGTGTGGATGATGGAAAACGGAGACATCTGAAAACGGAGGCGGGACTGCAGACATTCGCCTCTCTGATTGGGGCTTTTCCTGAATATTAAGTAGCCTAACACACACAGTTCAGTCCTGCATTCTCTCCGTGTAAGTTCAGACTTCGCAAGTTTGATTAAGGCTGCAGTCTCTTCTTCTCAGTTTGATATGGAAAAGCAGACTATACCGAGGACACGGGTAAATCTTCAAAGGGAACAGTGTACTTTATAACTTCATTCACATCACCCTGGCTACGTTGTTTCACTTTATCAACAATAAAATGTAAACATGATTTAAGGAACTGCCTATTTTCATTTTAATATTAGCAACTTAGACAGCAGAAATGTTGAGGCGTCGTGCTGCATATATGAGCGTCATCTTCACTGTGTGGATATTTATAACAAAACGGAGCCGATAACAACTGCCTCCTTTCAATTTCAGTGAAAAGACGAAACACACCCTCTCTTTTGCTGAATATCAGTTTTAATAATCGATAATGGCCATTACAAAAGTATAACATACAATAAGTTTATACATTATAGGAAATAAAGGCAAGCGATCAGTCAATATACAGAATGTACGTGGTTACATTAATCATTAACTTATCTTTGCGCTCAGCCAAAACATGTTACCTGAGAACAAGTAATAGATTCCAATGACCAAAGTCAGGGAATATGTCGTTAGATAAAGACAACAAGATGAATGAAATATCCCGTTTAATAAATATAGTGAGATTAGATCCAGCGGGAGATGGGTAGATGGGCTCCAGCGCTTGCCCGAGAGTGTCTGTGTGGTCACGTGATGTGCGTTTTCAGCTTTTTGGTGTGGACGGAGAGCAGTTGGGTAAAACGCGAGTGTGGACGCGGATCGTTTTCATTCTAAAACGCCGTTTTAAAACTAAAACGCACTAGTGTAAACGGGGCCTCAGTGTACTGGGATCAGAGATTGGTCCTACCGTGAGAAAGCTTTCGCACAGTGCGGGCACACGTAGGGTTTCTCCACGCCTCCCTGGTGGGATCTGACATGATGGCTCATGCGGTCCTTCCTCTTAAAGCGCTGCTGGCAGATCGGGCAGGAGAACGGCTTCTCGTCCGAGTGGGAGAGCCGGTGTCTGTTCAGGTGGTACACATCCCTGAAGGCTTTACCGCAGGTCTCGCATGCGTGGTTCTTGCGTACAGGGTTAGGGTTCTGGTTTACCGGTCTCTGAAATGAGAAGATATTCAATAGTCTGAAGGATAAAAGTCTGAAGCTTGCTTAAATATGCCTAATCCTACCCGGAACATAAACCCAACATCAACTTCACTAACTAGTAATAAACAGCTAATTATAGTTATTAATTAATTAAGCTGGTAGTGTTAGTTTATGGTTTGTTCATAACGTTTAGCCATAGCTCGTAGGATTACATGATTCACTGTATGCCAACGCAAGCAGAATCGGAGAATAAACACACACGGATGCCCACCTGCACAGGCTCCCCTGTTGCCATGACGACCGGCGGCGGAGGAGGGAGGGCGGTCACAGTGGACGCCACGCTCTCCATGGCCACGTCGTTCCCGTCCGGAGGAGCCAGGATTTGTGTGTGTTGAGCGGGCATGACGGTGGGCGGGGGCAGCGTTTGGCTCTGCTGCTGCAGGTGCAGGAGAGAGAGGAGCACTGTGTGTTTTTCCGAGCTGTCCTTGGCCTGGGCCTCTTGGTTCTGGGCGCCTGTCTTCATGCGGATGCCGGTGTGGACGGACTGATGGCGCCGCAGGTTGTAGCTGTTCTTGAACTGCTTGCTGCAGATGGAGCAGATGTGAGCCGCACGGGCTGGTCGGGACACTGGCTTCACTGATGATGAAGAAACAAAAACGAAACATTACTGAAGGGAAGATTCATATGTTTATACAGCCGTCAAAGTCAAAGCTATTAGCACTGCTGTGACATTTTTATCGATTTAAAAAGGGATGAAAGGGAAAACCAACAACAAACAAGAACATATGATTATACAGTTGAAGTCAGAATTATTAGCCGCCCTTTGAATTTTATCTTCTTTAACCAGTTAAACCATGCTATTTTGGGATTTCCTCCTGGATTTTGCCTACTTAAACTTATAAGCTTCCCAAATCCACATGCAGAGGTGTGACCGTATGTTGACACCGAAAGCGGCGAGAGCGTCAAAGTAGCCGGAAGTCATTCACTTTCAATGAGAGCCGGCGCCGATAAGCGGCGAGGAGCAGCGCGGCGCGTCTTTGCCGGCGTGAGCGTCGAGGAGAGTTGAAATCAAGTCAACTTTATGGTAATGAGCTATGACGCGGTACGGCGGCAAGCAATCAGAATGAAGACGTCCACCGCTTGATAGGAGTTCAGAGAACACAGACCTGTGAACTTTAGTTCCGACCACAGTTGTTCCCAAGGATTTGATGATTGCGGTCGCCGGATTTCCAACTATTTACAATGTTTTCTTACAGGAACATGCATTAAATAAGTTACTGGCGAGTTACTGATGTGCATTAATGTTATATATATATATATTTATCTTAAAAAAATCTCACGCGACGTGACAGTACAAAACAGTACAGCTGCTTCAGGATATTTCAGACATATGGACACATATTGGATAAATAGAGCAAAACCAGACCACATGCAGCTTGATCTTCCATTGTTATATGAATCTGATAAGAAGTGTCCAACATTTTCACGTTGGAAAGCATGTTTTATGCAGGAATGTAACTGATGGGCTGCAACGGCTCCTTTAAATACAAGATCAATGTAGCGAATTCTGACGCTCTCGCCGCCGGAGCTGAAGGCAGACAGCGTTGTCGCCAGGGCGTCCATAGCGACCTTGAACGCTCTCACCGCTTTCGATGTAAACGTACGGTGAAAGCAAAAATTTGGTATCGTTTTAAAGAAAACCCTTTGGATTTTTATAAAACACTATTGAAAGTGTTTAAAATAACTGTATATGTCGTCTGTGTTATAATAAACACTTAAAAAAGGCGCTTTTTGTATTTTGTTTTTTTTTATAAACTCAAATGTGAAAGTGTATCTTTTAGGTTCTGTGTGGTCTAGCATGCTGTAATTAATTTTGGTGGTTCCTGCACATGTCTGTAATCATAGGAAAAAAGAAAAAGGTCTCCACCATAATCTATGCTAAAGTTATTGTACTCCCAACTGATGAGAGGTGTTATACAAGCCACAGGGAGCGATCATTGTTTTCATATTTCACTATTCTTTTGTTTGATCAAACATAATTCACTGTGTTTGGACCACGTCAGACATATAAAAGGATTACTTATGCACATCACCACAAAAACAGAGGAGAATGGCCCTGAAGCGCACAGCTTATAATGTATAAATGTATATATATATATATAAATGTATATAAATGTATGTATAAATAAAAATAATTAATGTATTGTTTACATTTCTGCGCCATGGAGACACCACGATTCATTCGGCAACTGTTTGATATGTGGGTAACACTTTACAATAAGGTTCATTAGTTAATGCATTTACTAACATGAACTAATCATGAACAACACATGTACAGCATTTATTAATCATAATTGAACATTTACTAATGCATTATTAACATCCAAGTCCATGCTTGTTAACATTAGTTAATGCACCTTTAGTTAACATGAACTAACAATGAACAACTGCATTTTCATTAACTAACGTTTACTAACATGAATAAATTTTGTAGTAAATGTATTGTTCATTGCTTGTTCATGTTAGTCAATGCATTAATTAACATTAACTAATGAACCTTATTGTAAAGTGTGACCGAAAACCCTTTGAATTTTCATGAAATTCTATTGAAAGTGTTTGAAATATCTGTATATGTCGTCTGTGTTATAATAAACACCTAAAAACAGAGGCGCTTTTTGTATTTTTTGTATTTTTTTTTTTATGAACTCAAATTTGAAAGTGTACCTTTTAGGTTCTGTGTGCTCTAGCGTGCTGTAATTAATTTAGGTGGGTTCCTGCACATGTCTTTAATCATAGGAAAAAAGAAAAAGGTCTCTACCATAATCTATGCAAAAGTTAGCAGTTAACAGGGACCAATCCTTGTTTTCATATTTCACTATTCTTTTCTTTGATCAAACATAATTCACTGTGTTTGGACCACGTCAGACATATGAAAGGATTACCTATGCACATCACCTCAAAAACAGAAGAGTATGGCCCTAAAGCGCACAGCATAAGGTAATAGCTGTCTGTGCTATCTGGGGCTGCTTGTTGATCATAAATGTATTGTTTTCACTTCTGCGCCATGGAAACACCACAATTCATTCGGCAACTGTTTAATATGTGAATATAATTAAGTAAAAAGTATGCTAGAACCGTATGAGCACCGGCAAGAGCTTTCATTTGAGCTATAACTTGTATGTGTCATATATGAACCATGTGAAAACGAACCAATGTTCAATACCCAACTCGGGTATCCAAAACACTGTGTATTTAAGTGTAAATAACTTTTGTACAGTAGATTAAAAACCAAAGTGATGCATATGTGCGTAAAATATAGCTTCTACACTTTCGAACGAAACCCCTTACGGGGGTCTGGTGCAATGCTAGCCCTTTAAATCTTAAAGTGAAAGTACCGGGTCTGCAGAGTTTAACTGGTTAAATATTTCCCAAATGATGTTGAAGAGGGCAAGGACATTTTCACAGTATGTCTGATAATATTTTTTCTTCTGGAGAAAGTCTTATTTGATTCATTTCAGCTAGAATAAAAGCAGTTTTTAAATGTTTAAACACCATTCAAAGGTCAAAATTATTAGCCCTTTTAAGCTAACGAAAGGCCTTAATACTCTTACTCTAATTGCACTACATTTTTCGGCAGGTAATGTTACTTCAAGTATGATTTTTCATCACTCTTCCCACCACTATTGCTCAGCCCTACTTCAAATGTCCCCTTTTTATACGTAATGACCACATGCCCATTTCTAAAGGCAGCTCTTTAATTTTAAAAGTCAAAAAGGTCAATCGAAAAGCCGTGACTTATATTTCCAGGTAGTGGTTTTCCAGCACCACTCTATGTGATCACAGAGGAACACCTAGCATCCTCAGAAAACCTCCAACCCCTCCCATCCAGATTCCCTGCTCCTCTCCAAACCTCCCTCCCCTCTCCCTGTCCCTCCCGCTCACCCACCAGGTACAGGGTCCTCATTCAGAGCTGCAGTGTCCACTGTCGACGGAGGCGGGGCCATGTGGTCTGTGGGCGGGGCTTGAGGAGAGGTCGTGTGGACAGGCAGAAGTTCTGATTGGAGGGTCCCCTCCACTTGGGTGTGAGAAGGTGTGGTCTGGGAAAGAACAATCACATAGTACTAAGTTTGAATTCAAAACTTGAGCGCAGGAGTGAAACTGCTCGCTTTTTTTATTGCACCAATGTAGATGTTGTTACAACGTTGTAATAACGTCCACATAGTTATTTGCATACATGTATAGATCCACACAAACCATACTGAGTCTCACCTGGAAGAGAAAATTGCTCCACGCGGCATCCATTTTGTTCCAGAGCGATGAATATTATAATCAACTACACAATCATGAAGATTAATAGCGCATCACTGACACCAGTCTATCTGCTGTCTGGATGTGTTTACTAGCACTCCGCCGATCACTTATTTAACTCACGGCCCAGATTAGCAGGCAATAATGCACACTGTTTAGTGTTTCTCCTGATCAACTTTAACACGAGACATCACAACAACGTGCTATTTAATCATTTGCATGACTGAAAAATCGAAAGCTGCAATCTTATTTCCACTCTCGCATCATGCACTATCAAACAACATCTGAGGCGTTCAGACGTTAAAACAGCGGTTAGACGTAATGCGCTTGACGCATTTCAAATAGTCAAACTTAAAGGCTGCAGTGGATAAATCAGTGTTTTTTTCCCTCGATCCCCCCGACAGGCCAATCGGGTGTTTGTCGAAGCCTCGCTGTCGGATTCAAGCCGTGACCCGGACGAATAACACTCGAGCCCGGCCGCAGCCCGCCGCTCCACCTCGGCGCTTCAATTCACAGGATGTCATCTTTCTTTTTTTATCGCGCGCTCTCTCTCTCCTCCCTCCCTTCCCTGTCTCTTTCTTCCTTTTCTTTTTTAATTCCTCTTTCTTCTACCCCCTCCTCTCCTTTCCTCTCTCCGCTATGTCCCAGTTGTTCTTAAAGGGATGGCCGTTTCTCCCCCTCCTATTTCCGTCGCTTTCCTGCTTCCTCTCGGAAAATGAGCCGACAAGAAATACGCGCTGCTGACGTCACGTGACAACTCTCTATGAATATGTGACCCCCAACGTTGTTATTTTTGTTTCAAACAATTTATCCGTGGAATTTATAATGAATCTGTTGATTTCATTTGGGAAATTTCATATTCATACACTGCAAAAAATGCTTTTCTTTCTTAGATTTTTTGTCATTTCTAGTCCAAATATCTAAAAATTCCTAAATCAAGAAGAATTTTCTAGACAAGCAAATCGTATTGTCTTGTTTTGAGAAATAATATGCCAATATTAAGTGAGTTTTTCCTTAAAACAAGCAAAATAATCTGCCAATGGGGTAAGCAAAATAATCTTACGTCAAAAGAAAAAAACAAGAGTGTTTTAAGGAAAAAACTCACTTCATTTTGGCATAATATTTCTCAAAACAAGACAACATGTTTTGCTTGTCTAGAAAATGCTTCTTGATATAAGAAATTTAAGATATTTAGATTAAAAACAAGACAAAAATCTAATCAAGAAAAGCATTTATTGCAGTGTAAATGTAGATTAAATAACTCTAAACCTTTTAGCTAGTCGAGCCATGCTTATCAACTGGAAACAGGTGATTCCTCCATCACATCACACGCGGATCCGAGAAATCTTTAGTTACATAAAACTTGAGAAATTAAGATGTTTACTAGCAGGATCTCTCAAATCTTTTTACAAGACTTGGAACCCTGTTTTAGATTATATCAAAGGCTTACCCTGCTCAGTTGATATCAGATCTAATACACAGTAAATAATTGGAAAGAGCAAATATTGAATCCTTAATGTGAGCTTTTCATTTTTATTTATTTATTTATTTATTTATTTTGCTCTAATCATAAAGTTGCTTGTGTATTATTATTATTATTATTTTTATTATTATTATTATTATTATTATTATATATTTTTTAAATAATTTATTTTAATTTTTATTAATTAAAAGATAATAATTTTTTATTTATTATTATTCATTTATTTTTTTCTTTCAGAGGATATGTTTGTTTATTCATTCATTTTTTATTCATTAATTCATTCATTCATTTTCTTGTCAACTTAGTCCCTTTATTAATCCGGGGTCGCCACAGCGGAATGAACCGCCAACTCATCCAGCAAGTTTTTACGCAGCAGATGCCCTCCCAGCCGCAACCCATCTCTGGGAAACATCCACACACACATTCACACACACATACACTACAGACAATTTAGCCTACCCAATTCACCTGTACCGCATGTCTTTGGACTGTGGGGGAAACCAGAGCACCCGGAGGAAACCCACGCGAAGGCAGGGAGAACATGCAAACTCCAGTTTATAATTCATAAATTTAATTTATTGGATTTTTAGGGGATAGTGGGAAAATAACAAAAATAAGACAATCTGTAATTTTTCTTATGTTGTATTGTATACGTTTATGTATTGTCTTGTTAAACACCAATAAAAAATAAATAAATAAATAACTCTAAACCGTGTTTAAAGGTTGCTATTATTGGACCCGCTCCAATATATTAATAACTAAAAAATGTAAAAATAGAATTATAATGGCAAATGAGCAGAAGCTAATTGATTATTAAACTTGCTGTCCATTGGATAGATTAAGACAATATCATTGTGAAGATCTCCGTTGAAACTCATTTTATTTATTTATTTAATCTATATTTTAGCTTCTTTTAGGGTATTTGTTACATCTGTATTTTTTTGGGTGGCATGTTTAAATTGTATATTTGCTGTTGTTTATATAAAATAAAAAAATCTTAATCAATATGCAGTCGTTCATTTATGTAACATTATTAAACGCTTTATTATTTCCCTACGTTTTTTGTTTATCACCTGTTAGTTTATGTGTGTTTTAAAAGTTTACCCAAAGGGTTATGTGGGTATTTAAAAATCTTACTTGCCGAATTTTATATTCACAGAAGCCAAATTTGTAGCAGGTATGTGTACATTTATGTTTTGTATGTAAAATCATCAAAAAACAACTGTCACTCAGAAATTAATTTACATTCAGTCTATCATTTTGTTGTTGTTGTTGTGGTGGTGGTTTGTTTTGCATTAAATACACACACAAGCACATACATTATTATTATTTGTGTGTGTGAAAGTTACTAAACAGAATACGCCTAATTTCATTTGAGAATTATAACCATTATTAGAAAATAGGCTATCGTAGGCACAGAGAAAACCAAGAAAAACTATATAGCATGCCACAATACTTCTAACGAATAGTAGTATTACTACTATTCACACTCACCTGCCACTTTATAAGGTGCACATAAACCAGGTTGGACTCCCTTTTGCCTTCAGAACTGCCTTAATCCTTTGTGACATCGATTCAACAAGGTACTGGAAATATTCCTCAGAGATTTTGCTCCGTATTAACATGATGGCATCACGCAGTTAATGCAGATTTGTCGGCTGCATATCCATGATGTGAATCTCTCGTTCCACCACAATCCAAAGGTGCTCTATTGGATTGAGATCTGCTGACTGTGGAGGCCATTTGAGTACAGTGAACTCATTGTCATGTTCAACAATGCAGTTGGAGATGATTTGCGCTTTATGACATGGTGCGTTATTTTGCTGGAAATAGCCATCAGAAGATGAGTACACTGTGGTCATAAAGGGATGGACATGATCAGCAACAATACTCAAGTAGGCTGTGGTGTTGACACGATGCTCAATTGGTACTAATGGGTCCAAAGTGTGCCAAGAAAATATCCCTCATACCATTACACCACCATCACCAGCCTCAACCGTTGATACAAGGCAGGATGGATCCATACTTTCATGATGTTGATGGCAAATTCTGACCCGATCATCTCACTGTCACAGCAGAAATGGAGTCTCATCAGAGCAGGCAACGTTTCTCCAATCTTCGATTGTCCAGTTTTGGTGAGCCTGTGTGAATTGTAGCCTCAGTTTCCTGTTCTTAGCTGACAGGAGAGGCACCCGGTGTGATCTTCTGCTGCTGTAGCCCATCCGCCTCAAGTTTATACGTGTTGTGCGTTCAGAGATGCTGCAGACCTCAGTTGTAACGAGTGCTTATTTGAATTACTGTTGTCTCTCTATCAGCTGGAACCAGTCTGGCCAGTCTCTTTTTCGGACCATTCTCTGTAAACCCTAGAGATAATCCCAGTAGATCAGCAGTTTCTGAAATACTCAGACCAGCCCGTCTGGCACCAACAACCATGCCACATTCAAAGTCATTTAAATCCCCTTTCTTTTCCATTCTGAGGCTCGGTTTGAACGGCAGCAGATCGTCTTGACCATGTCTACATGTCTAAATCGTTGAGTTGCTCCCATGCGATTGGCTGATTGAAAATTTGCAGCAGTTGGACAGGTGTACCTAATAAAGTGGCCGGAGAATGTATATGGTATATGATGAAATAAAAATAAACAACATATAAAAATAAAACTGAAAGTCTTGTTGCGTTTTGACCAGTGTCATGTGTTTTCTGAAAGTATATGCACTTTGTGTAATAGTCTCTAATCGACTGGACTAAACACGCATTACCAGCTCGAGCTCGTCTTAAAGGGCACGTCACAATGACGCATAGAGGATTTTTCACGGATTTGTTATTGATGCCTGACATCAATGTCGGATCGTGATGTTTATCGAGATTTGTGAATGTCAAGCCTTTAAGAAGCAATGATTCCATTTGTCCATGAAGGAAAGAACAAAACAAAGACAAAACGAGGCAATTCACGTTAATATCAATTTATTGTCATTTAAATTGCTTCGCTTTATTTTTCCTTCACGTATTTTTCTTTAAGCCAGACACGGCTAGATTTCAGTAATCAATGTTTCGATCGAGCTGTACTGAAAATGTCCTCCTAGCAAAACCTCCCTTCTTTGACCCAACAACCTGTTTCACAGTCAACACGCACCACATACACAGATGATAGACTGATATTCTAGAGTCCGTCTATCCCTACACATTTCACCCCAAACAAACCAGGAGAGCCTCCTTTACCACCAAACATGGATCCAGACGAGATTTCCAGCCTGCCTGAGGACTTGCTTGAGCTCAAACATTCACCATCATGAAGTAACATCTCGTAAACAAGTCAGTCCATTCAATGGTGCAGTCTCATTGGCCCTCCAAACACGACACATCCGACATCATCCTCGATACATTAGAAGTTCTGCATGCACTGTTTTACTTTAAACCAAGCATAAAGTAGTAGGTTATACAGAGAGAGATATCAGAGCTGGTGTTTCTCGCTTGATTTTGGAGTTCCTATTGTGTTCCTCTGTGAAAAAAAACACAGCCTTGGTGATCTCTTCATTGTCAAATACACTTCTTCTGATCAGAGAACACTCCCAACATACACACACACACACACACACACATATATATATATATATATATATACATATGTGTAAAATATATATAACTGTGCGCTCTGTTTTGATCTAGACAGAAATACAGCTAAAAGTAGCACATTTCCCCCAAAGTTCATTAGTAATAAAGACATTTCCATCATACGATGTACTCGGTGTTCCTGTCTCTGAAGAGCATCTCTCTCATCGCTTAAAACAATACAGCTCAGTACAGTTACAGTTCTGTTCATATTGTCTAAGGTCTGAGTTAAAGGACGCTTACCCAAGCGAATAAGCCAGATTTTCCTTTAAATCGTGTTGTTTTTGGTGTGTTTGTGTACAAAAGTGTCAGCAGAATGCGTCCCATTCACCCAATGCATACACACAGACTATTAACAATTATTAATACTCATGTATTAATAACCATAACACACACTAGACCCGACGAAAGCACGTTTTCTTGAAAAATTCACATTCTTTAAAACCAGATGCTATGAGAAAGCTGAAGGAAAAAAGAAATTGTAGTGACGTCAAACACGGCGAGTTTTACACCACCCACTCCAGATTTCTGTTACTACGTGTTAGGTCTAGGTCTGTTCACGCTATTTTATCAAAATGTCAATATTTACTATAGAAAACTGTGGACACAATGCTTCAACACTTTCGATACTATATATTTATATATCTATACAATAAAAGATCCAATTGGTGGGAGATGACTCGAA